CAGGGAGCCCATCACCTGTGAGTCTCACCGCCCGCAGGGGCCGGGGGTGGGTGGGGGGCGTCAGGGAGCCCATCACCTGTGAGTCTCACCGCCTGCAGGGGCCGGGGGTCGGGGGCGTCTGCATGGAACGCTCCCACGCCGATCACTGCGCCTGCTCCTGCCCCTGCCTGCAGAGCCTCCTCTCCAGGCCCCAGGGGTGCTCTCCACTCCCGCAGGCTGCGACCAGCAGGTCTGGTTCAGACATCCGGGTGGGCCTCAGCGGCTGCGCTTCTGCCCCTCCAGCCACACACGCCCCTCTCAGGGCAGATGGGGACCTCGTCGCACTCAGAGGACGGAGGGGTCGGGGGCTCTCCCGTCTCCCACTGGGCTCCCAGCCCACCTCTGCCTGCGTCCGGCTGCCCCTTCCCTCTGCTCACCTCCCAGGGCCCGCCAGGAATTAAATTTTTCTTCATTTTTTAGAGCACTTTTAGGGCTCACAGCAAAATTGAGAGGAAGTACAGAGATTTCCTGTGTGCTCCTGCCCCCCACTGCAGCCTCACCCTGTATCCCCTCCCGCCAGATGGTGTGACTGTGCGGCTGACAGCCGCATGCTGACTTGTTGTCGGTCATCATCCCCGAGGCGTATTTGGGGCTCACTTGGTGCCACCCATTCTGTGGGTCTGGCAGATGTGTATTGTGTGTCCATTGGTAGAGGGTCCTACAGAGTGTGGCCAGGGGGCCAGAGGACGGCTGAGTGACATGCATCGGAAGGTGCCGGCATCGCTGGGCGTAGGGAAGTTGCAAGCTGAAGCCGAGAGCAGGCTGAGCTGGAGGGGACTTTCCGTGCCCAGTGCCGGCCTGCATGTGCCGCCTGCCAGCCACCCCACACCACCCAGTGAAGTGTGCCAGGCGTGTCCCGGTCACCTTCCATCATGCGGCTTCTCGACATGAAGAGCTCCTGCTTTAACGGGGTCCAATCTGTCCGCCTTCTTCTCTGTGGCTAATGGTTTTGCACCCGCCTAAGAAAGCTTTGCCTGCCCAGACCGTGCAGACTCGCCTTGTGCCCTCACAGAAGCCTCTTGCTCCGTGTTCCCGTGTCTGGGACCAGAGGAGCTGGCTTGTGTGTGGGGAGGGGGTCAGGGTTGCGCCTGTGCCCTTGTGTCCATGTGCTGAAGACCATCTCCCAGCGTGAGCCTGGTAAACTCGGGTCTGTCACTGGCATCTCTGACCCCTTTGGTTGGTATGTTTGCCCCCCCTTGGGCCAGTGCCAGATGCTTTAGAAACAGTGGGTTCACAGTGCATCTGGGATCTCAGCATGAGCCCACAAACTCCAGCTGTTCTCCACCTCAGGGTGTTGGGGCTGCTCGTGGCCCTGTTTTCCTGTGTACCTTTTTGAATCAGGTGTCTATTCCTGTAAATCACCTGGGGTTTTGATTGGGGTTATGGGTCAATTTGGGGACACGACATTGGCTGTCATGATACCAAGTGTTCCTGGCAGTGGCTCCCTGCTCAGGTGTTCTCTGCTCTCAGCAGCGTTATTTTCGGTGGGACGTCATGCGTGTCCTCCATTAGGCTTCCCCTGCTATTTGTGTTGTGAGGTGTTAATGTGAATGGTGTCTTTGTTGCTGGCGTGCAGTGTGGTGGGGTTTTGCGTGTTGACGTGACGTCCTGCCGCAGGCCTTTGCCTGTCAGCTGTTCTCTTTGCACCTGGGGTCTCCTGTTTTGTTCTAATGCACGTGTGTCCTCTGCAGCTTTTGCTCCTGTCTTCTGGCGCGTGTCATTTGCTTTTCCCAGGTGTTTGCAGGCCTGTGGCAGCCCATGTGCACTGAGGGGCAGGGGTGTCCTTGCTGTGCCCTGGGCTCACCTCCGCCTTAGATGCCTGCGGTAGGGTCTTTGTAGGTGCCCACCACGGGCTGTGGGCACGTGTGGAAGGGGACGGAATCTGGTGCGGTGCCCTGCAGTCCCTGTGGTGTCCCCTTGTGGTAGTCCCGTTCACGTTCTGCCTTCTTTTTCTTTGATCCCTCTTGCCAGGGGCTACCCGTTGTCAGTCTTTTTTTCCTTGGTAGCAGCTTTATCCAGCTGTAATGTGTGCCATTAACCAGTAAAGTGTGCAGTTCGGAGGGGGTCTTAGTTGTATTCGTGGAATCGTACAGCCGTCACGCAGAGTCAGGACGTTCTCACCTGTGCAGAAAGAGCTCCATCCCCCTGGGCCTCCATCTTTCCTGCCCCCAGACCCCAGCAGTCTGGTTTCTACCCTTGCGTTTGCTGTTCTGGACACTTCTTGTAAGTGGAGTCGTGTAAATGTCACCGGTAACTGCATGTGACATCTGGAGGACCTGCCCAGCGGCCGCTTTGTTTTGCCTTCCCGCGCTTACATGCAGCCCCCACCGTCCCGGCCTGCAGCCCGTCCATACGCCTCCTTCAGGGGCTAGTCCTTTGCTTTGTTGTTCATCTGTATTGCACATTTATTTTTTGTTTCACTGACACCTTTTCTTATTTTTCCTTCTGTTTGGATTTACTCTGCTGGTTTTCCAGCTCCTTGGGACAGATGCTTACATTCCGATATTAGTCCTTGTTTTCCTACATCGGCATTTGAGACTAAATTTCCCTTTGGACAGGTTTCAGCTACATCACAGTTCTGATATGTCATGTTTTTATTATAATTCAGTTCAAAACATTTTCTAATTGCCATTGTTACTTTTTCTTAGACTCTGAGTAATTTAGAAGCGTGTTGCTTAATCTGAAAGCAGGTGGGGGTTTTCTGGTCATCTCTATGCTCTCGGTTCCTAGTACAAGTCCACGTGGTCCGAGGACACACCGAATTCCCAGTGTGCTGAGTTCTGACCTACAGCTTGGCAAACGGTCTGTTCTGGTAACGGTGCCATGTGTGCGTGTCCACAGAGGTGTGTCTGCTGTTGTCGGGGGAGTGTTCTCTGGACGTCAGTCAGGTCACACTGGTCGGCCACTTCTAACCCTTGCTGACCTGTCCGCGTGTTCGGAAGAAGCACATCAGCATCTCCAGGGCAGATGAGGACCCAGAACCTCCCTTCGCCGTGCCTGCTCCTTGCATTTATCCTGCAGCTGTGTTACTAGGGCGACACGCATTTCCTAGGTGGAAATGGCCCCTCAACCTTAGGAGGTCACTGGCCGCTTGCCTCCCCTCAGTGTGCCATCTAATGCTATAACTAGGCCCACTCACTTTGGCTTAGAGTTTGCCAGACTTATCTGTCTTTTTCCATCTTTTAAAATTTAACTTTTCTTGATATATTTAAATGTGTCTCTCAGAAGCAGCATGTAATTGAGTATTTTGCCTAATTTTTATCCAGTTGTAAAATATCTTTTATTGGAGAATTTTGTCCATTTAAATTTAATGTGCTTTTTAATATATTTAATTCTACCACTTTAGTGTTTTTCTATTTGTTCCATTTCTTCTTGGTTCT